AATGGATGATGATGTTTCTGAAAAGCATTTGGTAAGAATGAATTTGCGCCATTTAATTAAATTTGGGGGTGGGTGCAACTAGAAACATTTAGTGTGGTAAATGTATTTGTAAAGATAACAGCTAAACCTGGCACACTGCATTACTTTGTATTTAGACCAGTGGGAAATAGGAGCATCAAATGCAGCACAAGAACAAGATATTTATAGAAATAAAGGCCAGGATTGATTTAAATAATCAGAAAAGTGAGGGCTGGGACAAATTAAGTATATTGGATTAATGGAAGTTCCTGTGATACTGTTCTCTTCTAGGATGTCGACTTAGATCGCCAGTCTCTGAGCAGCGTGGACAAAAACGCTTCAGAAAGGGGACAGAGTCAGTTTTCAAATCCAACAGATGAGAGCTGGAAAGGTGGTCCTTATGCAAGTAAGTATGCATTTTAGTGTCAACTTCAGTTTCCTCAAACACCTAGTCATTGGCTTAAGCAGTTATTTCAAGAAAAGAGTTGCTCTCTAGTTTTTGGAGGGCGTGGGTGGTTAGGCTTCTTTACTTGGAGACCTAAGGCATTTTAGGATACCTGAAAACCTTTAATGAAAAATTCCTAGCCAAGGTATGGTCTAAGCTTTGCTTCTACTATGGTTATAATGAAGAAAATGTTTCCTGTGCAATGATTTAAAGGTAATTCAAAAAATAACGGGGTGTGAAGAAGCAGACCCAAATGATTTTTGGAATGTCCTATTTGTCTATCATAAATTACTTCTAAAACTTAATATTGCTGTATTCCATCAGACCAGAAACTATTTGCCAACCTCCTTATTAAGTGTGTGGTGCAGCTGGAACTGATACAGACCATTGATAGTATAGTATTTTATCCAGCAACTAGCAAGAAGGAAGATGCTGAGCACATGGCTGCAGCTCAGGTAAGGACTCTTCTTTGCACTGTAGTAACAGACTGTATGTACTATACTTTTCCTGAAAGAGGCATTTCTTTTTTATGTAACTCTGAAGACAGACTCCAGTTTCTGTTTTTGTGGCTTTAACATTTTCATTCTCTAGAGGGGAGTAGGGAGGGTGATTTTGTTTCTTTGCTTCCTACCTATCATAGCAGATAAACTTGGCAAGGGGCCATGGTTAAGTGCCCAAACTTAACCTATAATGCTTATTAGCAGGTTTTCTATGGTAAAAAGGTCCTTTTTTTTTAAAGTTGAGTTCCAGTAATGTGGTCTTCAAGGGAGTGTACACAGCCCACTATTTATTCCATAGAAGGCCTGGGTTGGGGTTTTGGACCAGAGGAACCTTATCTGTGTTAATGCTTGGTTAGGTACCTCTTATTTTATACTGCGGTAGAGAAGCATCTGACATTTGGATGATGTGCTTCATGCCAGTTGGTCGGTATGCATTTATCCAGAAGCTGGTGCATTTCCTTAACAACATACAGCAGCACTTAGACATATGGAATGAAATATCTGGCTAGTTAACTTGTCTGGCAGTCTCTTTAGTAGGGCTGTGCAAAGCTTCGGTCCCTGATTTTGATTCAGCCCGATTCGGTGGCCAAATCCCCAAATCCAAATCGAATCAGGAGACCCTTTAATCTCTTCGAATTGAATTGGAATCCTCTCAGTCAATTCGGAGAGGTTCAGAAAGGTTCAACTATTCGGATAGAGACACAGCTTTAAATGTTTTTTTTTTTTTTTTTTCTTTCTACATACCTCAAGGTACCAGGTGGCTTGTGAATGCTGAGATGCTGGGGTGGATGGAACATCCCATAGGATGGGGGTGCTCCCCAGCACGCTCAGCAGCAGGCCTGGAAGTGGACCAGAAGCACTTCCGGTCCACTTCTGGGTCTGCTGGCAAGCGTGCTGCCAGTGCAGAAGTGGACCAGAAATAGTTCTGGTCCACTTCTGGGTTCACTGCTGAGCACGCAGGAGGCGGGGGGAGCCCTGCATTCCTGTGGGATGCTCCATCTGCCCCAGCATTTCAGTGTTTATGAGCCGCACTGGTACCTCGAGGTATGTAGAAAAAACATTTAAACATTTTAAAGCTGTGTCTGTTGCTGAATCACTGATTCTTCAAATCAGCATTGAATCCAAATTGAATTGGCCCAATTTGGACACCCCTGCTCTTTAGAAACCTACAGATCATGAATCAGCCCCAAAGGATATGTGGTGCTTTGTATCATTCGGCAATGATTTTGCATTGTCTTGAAATAGAGATCTTGCTTGGTTCCAGGTTCTCTTACCAATGGTTGATATCAACGATGCACTTTTTTTGCTAGTATATTTGTAAAAACAAGGTACTGAATTGCAGGACAGCACTGAAATGCACAGAGACAGCCCTGGCATCTTCTAGACTTATGGAAACATTATTAATCATATTCTGCTGTTTTAATAAAGTTCACATGTATCTGCATTGATAAACTTGGTCTAGTTTTACACCAGTGCACGGCCTGTAAAGTGTAAAAGTGAGGGCTCTGTTTTAAATATCATCTTCTCTTGCTTTATATAGAGAGATGCCCTGGATGCAGATATCCACATTGACACAGAAGACCAAGGAATGTATAAGTACATGTCTTCACATCACCTCTTTAAATTATTGGATTGTTTGCAAGAGTCTCATTCATTTTCCAAAGCCTTTAATTCCAATTATGAACAGCGAACTGTCTTATGGAGAGCAGGTAGGCATATCTTACCTAGTAGGAATCATGTAAAAATGTGTAGCATTGCAGAAGCATATTTCTTCAATTGGACTCAATACTGCCTTTTTATTAGTACTTAATCACATAGTACTTCAATGATGCATTTAACCCTTTAGATTAGGTGGCTTTTGATTATTCCTTCAATTTTGTAACTAAATACCTAATTCATTTCCACCACAGGGGAAAAAAATGTGATGGGGAAATAGTGGATTTAGTTGCCAGCAATTCCAAATTACAATTTAGAAATCTATTTTGGAAGAGTTGCTAGTAAGAGGCATGCAATTTGGTTCCTTTCACGGAAATGTCATGACCACAAATCATTAGACCACCTAGAGAAGGCTTTTTTGCCATTTTGGTCTTCTTGTGTGTTTGCATATTTTAATGAAACTATATAAAATATACAATATGCAATTCCAAGGCAAGTGAGAAGTCTTTTCTGTGACTGCATCTGGAAGCAATAGTGAAAATCTCCAAAGATTTTAGAGGGAAACCCAGGACATACCGGATTACAAATCTGAGCTTTGCAGTAATGGGCAACCCTTATTACCAGTGGATCCACATCAAACCTTAGAGAAGTTGAGATGTTGTGCCTACACAGGCTGAAAAATGACCGTATCTTTTTTTTCTTTTTTTTAATATACACTGTATGTTTGTCATCTCTCAAAATGCACTACAGTAGGTTTCTCCACTCTGCTGGATCTTGAACTTCAACTTTGTTTTTCCTGATTTTAAGCAAATGTAGATGGATGTTCCAATGTGTAATTAATTGATTTCTAGGGTTCAAGGGTAAGTCAAAACCCAATCTTTTAAAACAAGAGACCAGCAGCTTGGCTTGTTGCTTGAGAATCCTCTTCCGAATGTATGTTGATGAAAACCGTAGAGACTCCTGGGATGCGATACAACACCGACTTCTAAAGTAAGAATGAGATATTACATAAAAATCTAGGGCCTCAAGATGTCTCTAACCCCAAGAGATTTTGTCGGTCTAGCTGGACAAAGAATTAATTGGGCCATTGAGACAAAGTTTATCAACCCCTCCCAAATGAGAGAAATTGGAGGTTCATGCTGGGTTTGGAGGGGAAATGTTGGTAGAGCTGTACCTGTTCTGAGGATCAGGAAAGGATTTCACTCTCCAGGGCTATCAGACTGATGCCTTTTTAAAAACAATGTTCTTGTAAAAACAAACAAACAAACAAAAAAAACCTCATTACTGGAGCAGGAGGGAGAAACCCTTGGCCATCATACCAGTAGCAAGCATCAATTTTAAAGCAAGCATTTATGCCAACTACAGTCACCTATAGCAACTCCCATAAACTAAAATCTATGGAAGCAAACCACTGTACTTGCATAAAGCTAACAGATTTGATTGGAAATATTCACATACAAGTGCAGCTCATTGGGGAACACAAACTACTGCAGTCACAAATGGGACACACAATGTGTACATGCTTTTTTTCCCCTGTATCTTAAGGTTTGAATGCTTATGAACTAATTAATTTATGAATACTTTCTTCTAGTGTGTGCAGTGAAGCATTAGCCTATTTTATCACGGTGAATTCAGAAAGCCACAGAGAGGCCTGGACCAATCTCCTATTGTTGCTGTTAACAAAAACACTAAAAATCAGTGATGAAAAGGTAAGATAAGGCTAGAAACCAGTTGTATTTACTACCAGATATAGCAGGGGTAGGCAAAATGTGGCCCAGGGGCCAGATGCAGCCCACCAGGCCATTCTATCCGGCCTACGGGGCCCTTAACAGATTTAGAAAATTAATATTTATCTGCCATGGGCTGCCTGTCACGCGGCCCTCGATGGCTTGCCAAAACTCAGTAAGCAGCCCTCCGCCCAAAATAATTGCCCGCCCCCGAGATATAGTCTCTGCCATACCTTCACTGCTGCTAAATGTTCATTCAAATGTCTGATCTTGCCATCTGTTAGTAAAAATGTAAATTTTCCTTTTGCAGAAGTTAGATCAGTTTTCTTAATGTGTACTTTGCAAGCTTGCCACAGTACATACATGAAGCCTTGCGCTGATTCCCAGAGCTGGGGCAGAGAAATATTTACATTTTGTTAATGAAACTTATGGCATATTTATTCATACACGTGTAATGTAGTTATAAGGAAAAGTTTACATTGTACAGCTTGCATTAAATCTGTATGGTTGTGAAACTATGCTAAACTTAATGAATCCTGAGCTTATATTTACACTGATTTCCTGCTAGTCGATAATGATGGAGGTTTATCACCATGCATCATGTCAGTGTAAACTAAAGCACTTTGGTGATATTGGTACTCCTTGCAGCATAGTTCAGAAAGGTAAAGTTAAAGTAGCCCAGTTTTCTTGGTGATTTGTTTTAATTCAGTTTCTGCAACAGCCTGTTGACAAACTTAGGGTTACCATACATCCGGGTTTTCCCAGACATGTCCTTTTTTTGGCCCTCTGTCCTCATGTCCAAGTGGGTTTTTAAAAATGCAAGCAAATGTCCAGGTTTTTTCTTTGACTCTATTTTCCCAGGCACTAGCAGTTTGGCTTCTTGGGGCTGGGACCAGCAGGCAAGATGATTGGCTGTGTGTGTGTGTGGGGTGGGGGGGAGTCATGTACTCTTAGCGTGAGACCCAGCAAACTGCTGAGAGAAGAAACGTGAATAAACTGTGGTTAGCAGGGGTAGGGGCCAGAGTGCTGGGAGTTGGGAGTGAGGGGCACTGGGGAGCAGGGGCTTAGGAGTGAGGGGCAGTAGGGTGTGGGCATATCACTTCCCCCCCACTTCCCTTCTCCTCCCCACAGGTGTCTCTTTTTTTGATACTGGAAATATGGTAACCCTACCAAACTTTATTAAGCCAACTTTTCAAAATATATAGTCTTTAAACACTTTTTCATAGCAATACATATGATAATTACAGTAAGAAATTCTGGACACTGCAATACGTACTGGTCTTGTCTCATTATCATGTGGTTTGGGGAGGTGCTGTTGTGGCTTTTCAGGCATTTTTAATGAGAAACTGCCTTCCCTTGTTGCTGGAGCATCTGGTGACCATTCCCACAGTTCAGTGGAGTACAACTGGGAAACACAGTGACAAATCCTAAATTTTATGCCAATAAGTGTTCTAGGGAATAGCCATAACTTGCATCATGTTATTTTCCATAACAGTTTAAAGCGCATGCTTCAACGTATTACCCATACCTATGTGAAATCATGCAGTTTGACCTGATTCCTGAGCTCCGAGTTGTGCTACGGAAGTTCTTCCTGCGAATAGGTGTAGTGTTCAAAATCTGGATGCCGGAGGAGCAGTTACGGACAACTGGGACCCCCTTACCTTCATGGTAGCCTCAAGTAAAACTGGTCACTGTTGCTTACTCACAATGCTTCAGCTATGGTACGTTCAAGGAATGGATTCAAGAGGAGAAAAATGATTGGTACCTCTCGGCAAGCCAAACTGATCAGGAAGCCATTTTATTTTATTTTCTCTCTCTCTCTCTCTTT